TGTCCATGCTTGCTGGACAATTAAAGGATAAATAGGTATGTTCTCTTGACTTCAGTGCCATCCACGAAGTTCATCTTAAAATAAACAGCTGAATTCAACTCAGTTGTCTCTAAGACAACGAGGTCAGGTCAGGTTATCAGCTAAAAGCAATCCGTCAGCCATATATGTTTAACCTAATAAGCGATGACTAATTTGCCTGTTTTTCTCTTATATTCAATATAAATTGAATGAACAGAGCAGATGGGAAATCAGTGATAAGAAAATATGTACTATTTTGTACTGACTTTGCTCCCTCTTTGAGCTTGGTTAAGCCAAGAGTATGTTTTAACAAGTGACTTAAAATAGCAGAATTCAAATGTGTCTCACTACACAGCTATTCCTGAATGAAAAGAAAGTGCAATAAAAAGAATACATTCACACTTATGAACAAGACAATTTAAAAGATGCAAACACGAGTAAGACTCGAGTCCTGTCTAAACGAAGATTCAAGCGGGAGAACAGGAGACGTGTTTAGCACGACGCTGAAAAAGAACCATAAATGACACTATGAAATTTAACAGTTATTAAAAAGAAGTGCTCTCTGGCTTAGAGATGGGGACACAATCAGTGTGAGCAGAAAAATATAGCTGTGAAGGAGCATGGAACGTTCTAGCAATAGCAAACATGTCTGTGGGAGTTGGGAGCAGAGGGTTGGGTGCATGTCCAGTGCTGGAGGGGCGAGGACATGGAAGAAGTAGCAGCTGGAAAGAGAGGCAGTCATGAAGGGCTCCTAGTGCCAGGCATTCACGGTGCCATTCTGTAAGAAATGGGCAACGCTGCAGGTTTAGAAGTAGGGGTATACCATAATCAGAGTGATGTGCTGATAAGATAATTCATGGCTACATGAAGGACAGACTGCAAGGGACACAGGCTGAAGGCCAGTTGGAGTCTGCACTGTGATCGACTCCTGGTCAGGGCACAGACCTGGGGTGTGGATGTGATCCCTGGTTGGGGAGTGTGTGGAGGGCAGCTGATCAATGTTTCTCTCTTGCATAGATGTTTCTCACTTTCTATGTCTCTCTCTCTCTCTTTCTTCCTCCCTCCTTTCCACTCTTCCTCTCTTTAATCATGTCCTTGAGTGACGGTATATATATATATATATATATTATTCTTTTGTGACATACCATTGTATCAACTTTCACAAATGTATACCAAGAATAAGTAAAAGTTATAAATACTTAGGGGGCTTCTTCTAAATGCACTTTTTTAAGAATATGGTTCTCAGAACTTAGCTATATTTTGCCAGTGTGATAATGACAATGTTTATATAAGAGTAAAAACCTATCTTGGCTATTTAAATAATGCTGCAAAGAAAATAGGGGTGCATATACTTTTGAATTAGTGTTTTGGGTTTCTTTGAATATAGACCCAGAAGTGGAATCACTGGGTCATAAGGCAGTTCCATTTTTAGTTTTTTGAGGACCCTCCATTCTGTTTCCCACAGTGGCTGCACCAATCTGCACCCCTATCAGCAGTGCACAAGGGGTCCCTTTCTTCCACATCCTCTCCAACATTTGTTGACTTATCAATGATGGCCATTCTGACAGGAAGATGATATCTCATTGTTTTCATTTACATTTCTCTGATGATTAGTGATGTTGAGCATGTTTTCATATCTATTGGCCATCTGTATGTCCTCTTTGGAGAAGTGTCTATTTAGGTCCTCTGCCTATTTCAATTGGATCATTTTTTGGAGTTGTAAAAATGCCCATCAATAGAGTAGATAAAAGTTGTGGTTCATATATACAATGGAATATTACTTGGCCATAAAAAAAATGAAATCTTACTATTTGTGACAGTATGGATGGACCTCGAGGGTATCATGCTAAGTGAAATAAGTCAGACTGAGAAAGAAAAATACCACATGATTTCACTTATATGTGGAATCTAAAGAACAGAGTAAAGGAGAAAACAGAACCAGATTCAAATACAGAGAACAACAGATTGATGGTTGCCAGATGGGAGGGGGTTGGGGAATGGGTGAGAAAGGTAAAGGGATTAAGAAGTACAAATCTATCAATATAGTCACAAAAATATTCACAGGGATATAAAGTACAGTATAGGGAATATAGCCAATAGCACTGTAATAACTGAATGGTGTCAGGTGTATACTTGAAACATCAGGGGAACCAACACTTTGCATACATTGTCTAACCGCTATGTTGTACACCAGATACTACTAGAAAATAATATTGAATGTAAACTGTAAATGAAAACTAAAAAGAGAGAGTAGAAATGTAAACATGCAGTAAATTTCAAATTACTCCATTTTAATTTGAATCATTTTAATTTTACTATAATAGCAGCATACTCAAGCAGAGGCCTTCTCTTGAAAGTAGTTTGGTGCATATATTTGCATGATGACTGAAATTTTCCCAGAAATTCGGGAATCTAAGCCTTCAGTGTGTATCTCAGTACTATTAGCTGGACTCCCTCCAACTGCTAGAGCAAAGGAGTGAAAACATCAGTCATTGCCAAGTTCTCACAGTATATTTCTTTGGACCACCAGCTAGAAAATTCCATGTTTATTTAGTCAACCAGCCTGTTTTAAAATTTTTCTATGTAAATCACCCATTTGTGTTTAAACATTAAATCTTTTAGAATAAGGTTTCTATTAATTCAACAAACTTATAAAGAACATAAAGTAATTACTGCAGAACCCTGTAATTATCGTAAAATTACCTACCAGAAAAAGATCTTGGCCTTTTTAGAAACCCCTCTTTGGAGTAATAGCGCACACATGCACACGCGCGCACGCGCGCGCACACACACACACACACACACACACACACACACAGACACACACACACTTCCATTGTGCTCTGGTTGGGGAAGCAGAACATCATGAAGAACTGACTCAAGTTTACCGAGTGAAGAATATGTAGAAATTTATTTGGAAAATGAATGACCATGTTTGCAATAAAACTCCAAGATATCAAAGGCAAGATGGCCATAATATTCTCACGGTCAAGGAGCATACATGCACACAATTTATTGGATTATTGCAATTTCAGAGGCATGACACCGAACATGGTGAGACACAGTATAGTCACGAAAAACAAACATTAAGTCCTTGTGGAAGCTTTCGGAAGATTTATAGGCTAGATCTTTTTCTCTGCCTTCCTTTGGCAAGTTATCATATCTCATTTTTTCTTTGTAAAATGGTTCCAAATTCATTTGCTCAGTATTTATTTAAAATAAGTCAACGGAAATCAACTCCCATTTGTTTTGCTGTAAGCATGTCAGGCATGTTCTATTGGTTCAAGAAGAAAAGTAAAACAAGATATCCTCTGTAAAGCAAATATATTTATTATGCACTTTCATATACATAGGGATTTTTGCTTAATATAATACAAGGAATAAAATAAAACTTTTACAATGTGAAGTTTAATGTACATTTTAGGCTATTTACATACCCCAAACCAACGGAAAAATAAAAAGTATTTGTTTGCAACTACATTTGCTGAGACATGTTAATGGAGGACATTGAGCAAAACAAACATTTGCATAGCCAGACAATACCAAGAGAAGTATTTACTCCTGTTTTGTAAGTAGGAATCCTTTTTGGTGAAGACTCCGGTAGGGGTGGGGTGAGGGACATGATACTGTGCTAAGCAGTACACACTGAGCTCTGGTCAAACCTTTCCTACCAGATTCAGATTTTTATTCTTCATTATTGTAGCTTTTGTGACTTCCCTTTTCATCAGCTCATGACTTAGGGATGGACAGACTGAACAGTATAAAAACGTAAGCACACGGCACCAGAGGTGTGTGGTGGCACCAGGTGATTTACAAAATTTAAATATTTTCATTCTTAAAATAGCTATTGAGGAGTTATATTCGGGGGATTCTTTTTACTCTACTTAACAGATTAGAAGCCATCTTCAGCCACGGTGTTGAACCCGCAGAGCAACAGGTGCAGGTGGGCACCTCAGCACCCTCTCCTCGGCCGCAGGCTGGCTGTCCCTCTCCCACAGCACACAGACATCTGGAGGAATACTTACTGTTGGAAATCTCACTTTTCCAATAAGTTCTCTTCCTACCAGCTGTCTCAAGTGGTAATATAATATGGGTATGAAAACATTTAGGTCTTTGAAAAACATAAATCCCTTATGTAATGAGTCATATCTTTGACCTTTGGCCACAAGGTGCATTTTTGTAAAAAAAAAAACAAAACAATAAAATTAAATAAATACAATTCCAATAATTCAAGGTTAATAGAAAAACTGGCAGCTTTCAGGGTTCTCTTTCTAAAAAAAAATACACCTAATAAGAAATTAGCTTCATCTTCTCTAGTAATGTAAATGTACTGTCTCTGAGATATGAGTAAGATTGGTTCTCTTAATAGTGTGTGTTCATAGTTATAGAATCATTAACACTTCTAAGGCTACTTTGCAAGAGTCCTATTAAGTGTATTTAATAAATGTCCCATAGGGACAAAAATTCAGTACTTGAAACGTTCACATTCGAGATCTCCATATTGCCACGTCACCTCAATAGCGACTGAACTTAACGCATTTCCTACTCCTGATTATGAACTGATGACACGAACAAAATGAATTTCGCTGACTTTTAAAAAACAAAAACAAAATCAAAAGCCTTACACAAGGATTCAAGTGAAACACTTATCCAACCAATGCCACGTTTCTATTTCCGTGAACAATGCACCACACGTGTCCTTCATTGAAGATGACAGTACCGACCTCTGTGACTAAGACATTTCCTAAATATTCTTTTCCAACAATAACCAGTTTTGTGCTGAATCTCCAAATTCTCTTTCCTCATTCCTCCTCCTTATCAACAGGACACGGAAAGAATAGAATTTCTGGATCTTCTAAGATTTTCAGGGCTTATTTAAAGATCAAACCCACACCCTTGGCTTCTAAATACATCCTAACCGGTCCAGACATGCGACACCTCAGCCGGTTCCACTGGGCTGGAGTCCATCCAGGGGCCACGGCTGTGGGTCGCACGCTCATCTGAGCCAGTCAGCTGTTTTCCTCGGTCACGGCCTCATCCTAACCCGGGATGAGACTCAGTCAACCCGCGAGCAGTTGTCCAAAGAAGAAAACAGGAAAGAGTATGTGGACAAAAAAGTATCGTTTATGAAATGCCAATAAAAAATACTCATGTGCTATGACTGCCAGGTCCGTAGTGTCATCTGTGAAGGTCAGCACGTGTTACATTCATCGAGAATATTCATCCAACTAACCACTAAAATTCACCCAACAGGTTGTGAGGGGGGCCTTTTCCACCATGCGGTGATTTCCAAAACAATGGAGAGAGGAGCCAGCGTTCACACGGGTACACTGTTTTTATTCAACCGGACGGCAGAGATAAGGGCAGTCAGTGACTTGCTAAAGGATCCAAGGTTCACCCTCAGGGCGACAGGGCATCTCCCCAGGACACAGGCCGCCGTGCCTTGGGAACCCCGTCTTCGGGCTGTGGAATGCCCAGCGGGGGGTGAAATGGCACCCCAGGGAGTGAAACAGAACTTAGTTCTGCCTAGTCTTCTTTTCTGACACCGTTAGCCAGAGATTAGGAGGATTCTACTGGGAAATCCAAATTTAAACTACTTAGAGCAGCTCCCTAAAATACTAGAAATTATTTTTAAATCTGCGAAGAAACCATTTTTCTTCACCTCAGTGGCATTAAATAGAAACTCTTTTTAAACCAATGTGGAAGGTGTGTGTGAGTATAAATAGCTGCATGATTTATTTGACCGAGTGACATTTTTAAAGATCCAGGAAACAAGCCACACGCCACAGCAATGCAGACGGGACTGGAGCAGGCTTCCTCCGTGGGCCACGAGAGAAACAATACACACGAGGAACACCGCCTTTCTCAGGTCTCGATCATGGCACATGCACATTCATCAAATCGGAACTGAAAATACTTCACTCAAATCGTTTCAGCTTTTATCAGGGAACTGCAGTATATGTCTGCATTTTTTTTTTAAAAAGTGCTCATTCTTGTGTAGTGAATACAAAGCACACAAACTGAAACGGAAGCACGAGGGTCACACCGAGAAGGCAGCCTTGCTATTAGGCACATTACAGTGAGGCAGGTAACTGAACTGCAGGATCACATTCGTCACTGTTTTCAGCGATCAACAGGCATTCGGGTTCCATCCAGCAGCTGAAGAATCACTCCGATCGCGACGTCTTCTGTCTCGCAGAACAGGAAACTAGTGCAAAAGTAAAAAACATTAATTTCCATATCATACTTACTATATAGCTACATATAGTGTGAAGACTCTCTAAGATTATTTATACTTATGTGAAGAACTAAGTAGACTAGCTGTTAGAGATTCATTTTCTAACTAGCTGTTAGAGATTCACTTATAAATCACTTTTAAAGATACCACAAAGTGTTTACCTTAATGCATGTGTTTTGCTATTTAATATACGTATTTATATTTTGTCTTTACAAAAGATTTCATGACAATTGGAGAACAGTACCATCAGAACAGTACCAACAGTACCATTTTTAAAATAAACAACATTGAGGAATGAATTAACTACTTTGTACGTGTTATTTTTGAATGAGATTTGGCCAGTTGTCCCTCGATTCACATGGAAGGATGTTTATTATGAGAAGGTTTGGGAATTTATTTATGATAATGTGACACCTAAAATACTGTATCTCCAAAGACAAAAGAAGCATAAGAGAGAGATCTCCATTTACTAAAAGAGTACAATTTTGTAGAAAGATAAAAATGATTAAGTAGGCTTGGATAAATATACTTGTAGTAAAAGTTAGAAAAGATTCCTAATGACATCTTTGATTTATCTCTAATATCGGAAATGTGCTTCTAAAAAAAGTATCGATAATATAAAATCATCTATTTTCCCATTAACTTCCCTTACATAATTAACGAATCATCTATTGATGTGGGAAGGAAAAAGTGTTTTTATTTCATAAACATGCCTTTATTTTTGAGGCTTAAACATTTATTCTTGTGCCTAAATACAGAGGATGCTACTGACTCTCCTGCTGGGACAGCCTCTCATCACCTTTCCACGTCTGCGCCTGGTCTGCGAACTACTTGGAAGAGTCTTAAGAGACTGTCATACTAAAAATTACCTTTTGCTGATTAAACCGTTGACTCCTTCCAGGTTGAAAACTTAGGAAATTAACATTCATTATCTATCTACTAAGCATGACAAACACTATTTTATTCAAACCAAGAAGTGAGGGTCACAGAAACAGCCCCTCTCTCTGTTACCACCAAAGAACGTTTAAGAGGGAAAATGACTCCTCTACAGGAAGGAACTCTTAATCTGAGATCCATAAATAGTACATTCATTCATTCATTCATTCAACACACTTTCACTGAGAAGCTACTATAGGTGCAGGCAGCATCCCAAATACATGGAGTACAGCAGTGAATGAAACAGACAGGCATCCCCACCCGCACAAAGCTTGCATTTAAGCTGAAAGGAGACAGATAAGCCCAATAATAAATAAAACATATAAAGTATGTGAGATAGTAGGTACTTGGACAGGGAGGGGCAGAGCTCGAATTCCTCGTGCTAACGACACCCTACCTGTTATAACGGCGTCTCCTTCTTGTAGTTGAAGCCAGGGTCAGAGCCGTCGATTTGAAGCTTCAGGGCTTGTTTAAGGCTCAGTTCCGTCTCTGATGAAGGGTACCCTTCCAACACCTCTTGATGCCCTCTGTCTGGTATTGTCCGTGGCACTGAAACCCGCCCGAGAAACACCTGGTTGCTCTGGAGATGGTAATTTGGGTTTGTCATGATTCCGTTTCTCTTCTTCTGTTCCCCGCTCTGCTGGTGAATAAGAAACTGCTGCTGAGACCGACCCACTTCCTGCTGGGCGGACGGTATCACAATCTTGCACTGAGACTCTGCGGGCGACTGTTTGGGGGGTGCGCTGGACCCGGGCTTGGCTGCAGGCCCTCGTGTGTCGAACTGAGTCATTTCGTACTCCAAAACCTTGGGCTGTGAATTATTCTGTTTGGCCTTTTTCCCAGCTGACCCGGATTTGCTGGAATTTTCGGATTTGCCCCCTTTGTTTGTTTTCGTTGACTTCAAACTGGGCTTGACTTGACTCCACTCGAACTCGCTGCTGGGGGAGCGGTGGCCCTGTCCCAGGGACTGCGTCGTGGAAGACGGGGACACGACGGACTGCCGGCTGCGGCTGCGGGGCAGCGAGTGCTGCTGGATCTGCTCGGTGAACGACAGGCCGTGGAAGCTGTCGATGGGCACCGTCTGCGCCGTGGCGGTCGACGAGGTGGTTCTCAGAGACGAGTTCTTCGAGCTCTTCAGGGAATTGTTGGACAAGGACGACTTCTGCCGATCGACCGTGGAGTCCGGCGACTCGGAAGGGGAGCTGAAGGCGTGGGCCGGGCCGCTGGGCAGCCCACGCAGGGGCGGCTGCACGTCCCCGGCGCCCGTGCTGCCCGAGCTGTTCGACTTGATCGTCAGCGACTGCAGCTTTGAAGACACTGACTGTAGAGGCTTCTGCTCCATGGTGTGAACAGGAGACGGGGAGCAGCCATTCAAACTAGATGCACCATATTTTTCTAATAGTTTAATGATCTGAGAATGGCCGTTCTTGGCTGCGACCCGCATGGCGGTGCGTCCAAACTGATCGGCGTGGTTCGGGTCGGCACCGTGCTCCAGGAGCACCTGCACGACGTCCATGTGCCCCTCCTGGGCGGCGATGCAGAGCGCGGTGGCGCCCTGATTGCACGTGTGGTCCACCAGGGCGCCCTGCTCGATCAGGAGCCGGACCACCTTCCCGTGGCCCTGCCAGGCCGCAGACTGCAGGGCAGACCGCTTCTCGTTGTCGGCCGCGTTGATGTCGGCGTGGTAGGCGAGCAGAGCCTGCACCATTTCCAAGTGGCCCTGCCAGCAGGACACGTGAAGAGCCGTCCTCCCTTCGGCATCGCTCGCTTCGACGTTCGCACCGTTTTCTAAGAAGTACTCGGCCATCGTCAGCTGGTTCTCCAAGGCCAGGATGTAAAGGGTGGGCCTCCCGTCGGCGTCTTTGTAGTTAACGTCAGCCCCGTGGCTGAGCAGCAGTTCCACGATGTCCCTGTGTCCTTCCAGGGCAGCCACGCGCAGTGCGTTCCGACCGTCGTAACCTCGCTGGTCAATGTTGGATTTATTTTCCAGCAGTATCTGGACACAATCATAATGACCCTCTTGCGAAGCTAGTATGAAAGGTATCCGTCCATCATTATCAATCTCATTCGTTCTAGCACCTTGTTCAATAAGCGCCTCACATATTAACCTGTGACCTTCGAAGGCTGCCATGTGCAGAGGTGTCCACCCAGCATCATCTCTGTGGTTCTCATCCAAGCCTCTGTCCAGCAGAGTACGGACCACCTCGACGTTGCCTTGGGCCGAGGCTATGCTGAGGACTGTCCTCCCTTCGCTATCAATGCTATCCACGGCTGCGCCCCAAAACAGCAGTGTGTTCACGACGGAAGCATGGCCCATGGAAGCAGCTGCTAAGAGGGGGGTCCGGCCGTTGTTATCGGTGTGGTCCACATCCGCGCCCCCCTCCAGGAGCAAGTCCACCACGTCGACGTGCCCTTCGTAGGCGGCGACGAGCAGCGGCGTCATGCCGTCTTTGTCACAGTGGTCTACCGCAGCACCTCGGTCGATCAGCAGGCTGACGACCGACGCGTGGCCTCTGCTCGCAGGCACGCAGAGCGCAGCTACAGAGAGTGCCGTCCGGCCATCCACGTCCTCATGGTCCACCTCTGCCCCGTGGTCCAGGAGGTGCTCCACAATCTCTCTGTGCCCCATGTAGGCCGCCGCGATCAGAGCGGTCCTGCCTTCGTTGTCAGCCTTGTTGACCTCAGCACCATGCTGCAGCAAGTTCAGGACAATGTCCTCGTGTCCCCCCCACGCGGCGGCTCTCAGCGCCGTCCGGCTGTCAGCATCTGCACAATCCACTTTCACGCCAGCGTAAAGGAGCGCAGACACCACCTCCGTGTGACCACCCCACGCAGCAGATCGCAATGCCGTCCACCCGTCCTGATCAGTATGATTAATGTTTGCCCCACACCCAATCAGACAATTAACCACCTTGGTATGTCCCTGTCTAGCAGCCAGGGTCAGCGGTGTGTGCCCGTGAGCATCTTCTATCTCTAAATCGGCCCCCCTAGAGACAAGTAAATTCACCACGTCAAGGTTGCCACTGTACGCAGCGTTGGCCAGTAATGTTCTCCCAGAGGAGTCGCACTGATTCACCGAAGCTCCGTTGTCTAGTAAGGTCCGAATGGAGTCCTCTCTCTCTAAGGCTTGACGGACTATGCAGGACGTGCGGTCGTCTTCACTGTTCACGTGAGCGCCGGCTTTGACCAACAGCTGCAGCACTTCTTGTTCCTTGGGTATTAACGTCGACAGGGAGTCTCTGACAGGTGTGCCATTCCATATCATCCACAGAGCTAACTCAGCTGGCTCCAACTGTAAGTTTGAATTAATCAAGTGCAATGCAAATTCTTGTGCTTCCAACGGTGTTAGATTCTTGGCTTGACAGGTATAACTCATAGCCAACATCCGGTGTCCTTCTGCTGCGTTGCACAAATACTTCTGCGTGCAGTGTTTCACATCCAGAAGCCACTCTGCAAAGCTGTAGTGGAACAGGATTTTGGTATTCCCTAGCCCGTCGACAAGGAGTTTGGAGAGCACGTCTAACTTGCGCTGGAAGTCTTCCAAGGTTAACGACATATTTTTGGTCCATACCGCATGATATAATTCCGTTGTGGTCAAAGGTCGGCAGGCTGCAAGAATCACATTCAGAATCGGCTGGACCTTTGCAAACTGCTTTCTCACAAAAAGTCTTTGACACAGCCAGAGATAGAGACCGTTCAGAGTCCCTGGGATGTCGCGGATCTCTCGTAACATAATAAAATTTTCTACAACTCCATCCAGAACCCGTTCGAGATAAAGAAAGCACCCACTGCTTTTAATGTGCAACTGGTTTAACATCTCTGCAGTTTCTTTTGTGAGGTGTTGTCGCAAAGCTTCTTCTTGATCTAAACGATGAAGAATATACTGTTGAACATCCTTAACAATATATGCCTTCCGAAGGTCATCTAAACTTATTTTTCGGAAACCTAGAGAGGAGACAAAAAGTGGATATTATCATTGGAAAAGGGCCGCAGAAGTTGCCCTATATGCCAAGAGAACATCTTCAGTATATAACAAACTAGTAAGAAAATAAATCAATGATAAATCAACTAGTTCTAAGAAATCGATACCTGTTAGTACATAAATCAGTTTTCTTTGTCACCTATAAAGAACACATTGGTGGCAGAGAAACGATTTCTTTTTTTCTTTATTGATTTCAGACAGTCTTTTTTTATCCTCACCCGAGGACATTTTTCCATTTTTTGTTCAGGTAGAGTGGGAGGGAGAGAGAGGAACAGAGAGAGAGAGAGAAACATCGACGTGAAAAGGACACATCGAGTGGCTGCCACCCGCACAACCAACCAGGGCCGGGGACAAACTTCAACCGAGGTACGTGCCCTTAGCAGGAACCAAACCCAGGTCTCTCAGGACCGCAGGCCGACACTCTAACCGCTGAGCCAAACTGGCCAGGGCCAGACAGTCTTAGATACATATCCATAAAAGCATGTTAAGAATTTCTGAACTCTCAAATGATTAGAAAAGCAAGTTGCAGGAAACATAACAAGTAAGATATGTTTGTTTTTACAACTGACCTTTTTCACATGAAAAATTTATATATTTCCATCTGCATAACTAAATGTATATTAGCTTTAATTAGGGGACTGAGACTCATATTCAATTAGAATATCATCTGTCACAGCCTTTAAATAACACGATTTTACATGTTATCAAATTAAAATAATTAAATGTCAGAAAGTCAATAAATAGCTTGAACTTTAAGATGTCACTCGGTCAGATTACACTAGCAAAACTTCAGCATTGAAAAAATAAAGCAACATAATAAATTTCAAACCAATGCTAGTTAAAGCTACTTGAAACTCACGTGTAAGGCCTTTAAAGGAAACCATGATTTCATTTTCTAAAGAGAGATGATATCCTGATCTACAGACACACATGTATTAAACAAGTCTGCGTTCATCTCACAGAACAACTGCTGCATGAATGAACTCCCTTAAGAGAGACAGCTCTAGAAATTCAGCAAAAATTAGCGATGGTCAATTAATACTGAGTGAAATAGTTATGAAACTCAGTAAGACAAATATATACACATACACATATATATATGTATATATATCACCCACTATAGTCAGGTCCCCTAGGAGGTGATGAGACTTTTATTTTGTGATGACACATCAGTGAGGACTCTGGCCAAGGGAAAGGGCACCTGATGTGCCCGCCGAGGGGCGGGCCCAGCATCACGGAAGAGGAGGAGCTGCAGGGAATCAACGCTCCAGGCAGGACGGTGACCCAGCCTGGACACGAATCACTATGGGACTGAACAAGGGCAGCAGCACAGAGGAAAATGAAGTGTAGGTTTGGGGATCGTCAGTAAGAACGAGACTGCTCGGGACTGCGTGAATCTGGGGAAGGAGAGAGAGGAGTCGTCGAAACTGACATTCGCTTCTGGCTTGATGGGACAGGCTGGAGAGAGATCACTGAAGGATAAATAATAGGTTTGGAGAGAAAGCAGATAGATTCAGTTTTGTGATACTATGCTTGAAGTACATGAAATAGATAAATTTACTGAAAACAACCTACTAAGAATGACATGAATAACAAATTTGCATAGCTCTAAATCTATATAAAAATGGAACATGTAATTATATATATACACACACATATGTACAACTGATTCATTAATTATACAGATAACAGATTCTTTTCAATAGAATTAATTTCAAAAGATAAATTTTAATTATAAAGAAGACACTCTTGACCCAAGGAGAGTTTAAAACATGAACAGAAATTTTAACAATCTGCATTTACCAATGACATGAGGAACTTGCTTCTAAACCTTTTTCTGTGCGTCCATTTGCTCTTGGCTTTATAAAGTCATTAAACAATAAAGTTGAAAAACACCTGGAATGTTGCTAATAAAACACATTTTAAAAAAGAATAACTATCTTGCCCTGGCCGGTTTGGCTCAGCAGTTAGAGCCAAAGGGTTGCAGGTTCAATCCTGGGCCCTGGTTGGGGTTGTGCAAGAGGCAACCAATTGATCTCCTTCTCCCTCCCTCCCTCCCTCCCTCCCTCTCTCTCTCTTCCTCGCTCCCTTCACTCTATCTAAAAATCAATGGAAAAATATCCCTGGGTGAGGATCAAAAAAATAATAACTATCTTACATTGTACAGTGTTTTAAAGTTTCCATGATCTTGTAGATAATGATTTACATTATAGTACCAATTATGAATATCTATAATTTAAACCTACTTAACTAAGACCACAACTGAAACGAGATAATTAAGACAGAATTCGGGCGAAACCTCCAGTGACAGGCTCAGCTCCTGAGAAACAGGCAAGAAGGACCCGCACGACTGAGCCAGCCCGTGTCCAAGAGGCACCTTCCAGGGCTCATCACACTGAGCTGCAGCTTGCACTCAGGCCTGCGAGGCTGCCTCCCTGCTTTAAGAATGAAGCGGCTGAAGTCAGAAGGGTCAGGTTAATTGCCTAAAGTGGCGCAGCTGGTAGGTCACAGATCAAGGTCCTGATTGTTCTGACTCTGAAGTTTGCTCTTGTCAGGAAGATGGGAGTGGGCAGAGCGAGGTGAGAGAAAGTGGGTGCCGGCGGGGGTGAGGACAGAGGGCAGGGCCCCGGGCTGATTCGAAAAGAAAGCAGAGAGAATCCCACACAGTACAGATAGAAACTTGGCAATTAAAAAAATAAAGTGCTCCCAAATCTAAATATACTTAGTAATGTGAATTTAGATAGAATCAATTACTGTGTTCGTCACTGATGACAGTTATTCGTTCATTAATATAGAACTGGGAATATCTGTTAATTAACAGTTCGAATCTCTTACGTTAAAGTTACTGAAAAAAACTGCTTTTTTAACAGTGCAACTTCTGACCATTATACGTGTAACTCCCTTCTTAGGAACATGCACAATTTAATACATTGCTAGCGAAACACTTGAAAAAATTTTTATAAGGCTGGAAAATGCTCAGACATTTTAGGAGAATATAAACAGGATTTACTGAAATGTTTGACCACTTCTGTATCCTTACAAAAATCTCACTCAGGCCCTGGCCGGTTTGGCTCAGTGGTTGAGCATCGGCCTGCAGACCAGAGAGTCCCAGGTTCAGTTCCCGCTAGGGGCACGTACCACCAAAAAAAAAAAAAATCTCTCTCAAGATGTGAGACTACTCAGTGCTGGTGAGGAGAGGGACTGAAGGTGACAGGGCTCATGATCCGATGTCACTGCCGTCATGTACCGTCCTGAGGAGTCAGTGGGGATGGAGACTACAATAATGGAACCTAACACACAAGAATAAGCAAGTTAAGCAAACTCTGGCATATTGATGTACTTACTCCTAAGTGATGTATCCATGAAAATCATTATTAAATAGACAATACAGCGACATGAAGACTCATAAATGTGAAGTTCAAAAGCAGAGTCTTAGTTGATATAAAGCATGAGCTCAGCCAGGTAGAATAACACACAGAATTTAACCCCAAGCTTTCAAGAGTGGTTAACTACTACTTTATCCCTGAATGACGTTCTATTTGAGTGTGTCGTCGTTTAAAACATTACCTATATGGAGCATGTGCTATTTTTTTTATTAGATAAAATAAATATATATACAAATCTTTAAAAATCTTTGAGGTTTGCCAGCCGGTGTGGCTCAGTGGTTGAGCACTGACCCACGCACCAAGAGGTCATCTGTTCGATTCCTGGTCAGGACACATGCCCAGGTTGTGGGCCAAATCCCCAGTGGGGGGCATGCAGGAGGAGGCCAACTGATGTTCTCGCTCATCCATGTTTCTCTCTCCCCCGCTCTCTCTTCCTCTTGGTCTAAAAATCAATATAGAAAAAAAACATCTTTGAGATTTAATTTTTTTATACACAAATGTTTTCAAATGGGCTGCTACTTCTTTTAGTCCCCTAACAAGAATTAGTAGCTAGTAGCCTATAATAATACCTTCATATGTAGTCAAAATTCTGCTTAGTAGCAAAGGGATTTTTCATTAATCTGAGGCTGTTAACAAAAATGCTATCGGTCAGTATAGTATATACATGAGGAAAGAGATTCTCTTTATAAAATGTTAAATGCTTAGACAGGAGTAGATGAAACTGATTTAGACACAGTACAGATCTTAAACGTTACTGCCCTATGGTCATGCACCTCCCAGTTTTAAATTTGAATGCATACGTCTCAGTCCAAAACCATGTCCTTCAACTTAAAACATTAGCAAAGAGCAGGCAGAGATGTGCAGGACATTTTTCTTATACAAGAAGAAAGCAAAATAAGTGAAAATATGAGCTATGTTCATAGATGGAACAAAAGCATATTTTATTTTATTTTTTTCCTTTATTGAGAGAGGAAGTGAGAAGAAGGCAGAGACAGAAACATCAATGAGAGAGAACATCGACTGTCTGCCTCCTGCATGCCCCCCACTGGGGAGCAGCCCACAACCTGGGCACGTGCCCTAACGGAGAATCGAACCAGCAACCTCTTGGTGCGTGGCTCCACGCTCAACCACTGAGCCACGCTGGCCAGACCAAAAGCATATTTTTAATGCCAAACTCTTCCATATAAAAATAAAAATTTAAACCAAATTCATTATTTTTTTTGTTTATATCATTGGTAGTTATAATTTTTGAAAATATATTAAATTCAGTTTGGAGAAATATAGGTAAATATATATAATATAGAATAATAACATTAGTGGCAAAGAGGTCTAGGAAGTAACTGTACCAGAAAATTAAAAATATTAAGTCAATGTGGCATTTGCACAAAAATGCCATCAGTTCAGAAGAGCAGAGTTTAGAAATACATCAATAACACACTGATATACTGATATGGACACATACCTAAACTTACGTATAAAAGAAACATCACTAACTAATGGTAAAGGGAGTCAATAAATAATGCAAAAAAAAATTTGTGGTTTGATAAATGATCCTAGTGAAGACAATACATTAGGTTACATATAATAGTCTTCAAAAGAATTTCAGTAGCCCCCTTATCTTCGGGGATACATTCCCAGACCCCCAGTGGAAGCCGGAGACCGAGGACAGTATCGAACCTTATATGCACTGTTTTTTCCTATATGTACATACTTATGATAAAGTTCAATTAATAAATTAGGCACAGAAAGATGACCAGCAATCAGTAATAAGATAGCACACCTGTAACAATATACTGTAAACAGTTATGCGACTGAGCTCTCTTGTGATGTGAGATGAACAAGCCTAGGAGGTGGGTGACCCAGTGAATGACATGGCCCGTGACGCGCCCCAGGCCATCGGCTAGAAGGGCTACCCGAACAGCACTTCAATCTGATAGCCAAGTGACTCATGGGCAGGCATTGTGTACAGGCGGATGAAGTGGACGAAGGGATGATTCACATCTCAGGTGGGATGCAGTGGGCGGGTGGGAGAGTTCATCAAGCTCCTCAGAATGGCGTGCAATTTAAAACGTATGAACTGTTTATTTCTGGAATTTTCCATTTAAAATTTTCAGACCACAGTTGACCGTGGGTAACTGAAACCATAGAAACTCGGACAGCAGATAAGGGGGGACTACTGTACTACAATCTGACGAAGGTCAAGACAACACTTACAAAGAAGGAAAGGAAGTTTCAATCGGAACAGACCCGTGACGTAAACAACACAAGAGGTAAAGGACCAGGGAGGTGAGTGAGGAGCGGGGAGACGCAGCACCTGGGGGTCAGGCAGCTGGGCCAGGTCTGGGAGCGTCCAGGCAGGGGGAGCATCCAGGCAGGGGGAGCGGTCCAGGCAGGGGAGCGTCCAGGCAGGGGGAGCGTCCAGGCAGGGGGAGCGGTCCAGGCAGGGGGACCGTCCAGGCAGGGGGAGCGTCCAGGCAGGGGGAGCGGTCCAGGCAGGGGGAGCGGTCCAGGCAGGGGGAGCGGTCCAGGCAGGGGGAGCCGTCCAGGCAGGGGGAGCGGTCCAGGCAGGGGGAGCGTCCAGGCAGGGGGAGCGGTCCAGGCAGGGGGAGGGGAACATCCAGGCAGGGGAGCGGTCCAGGCAGGGGGAGGGTCCAGGCAGGGGGAGCGTCCAGGCAGGGGGAGCGTCCACGCAGGGGAGCGGTCCAGGTAGGGGGAGCGTCCAGGCAGGGGGAGCGTCCAGGCAGGGGAGCGGTCCAGGTAGGGGGAGCATCCAGGCAGGGGGAGCGTCCAGGCAGGGGCGCCGAGCACGAGGCCCCGCAGCAGAGAGCAGCAGAACTGGAAGCCGGGATGCTAACTGAAGGGCTGGAGAGGAAGGGGAATCTGTCTTGTTGGCAGGAGCGCACCGTATCTCAAGCACACTAGACGGCAATGTGGCAGAGCGCACCGAGGCTGAGGAGCAGGCACTTGGTGACCCAGCTCTGCGCCCAGCTCACGGGTAGCCCTCAGCACTGGTGCACACAGGCAGGCTGGGGCAGTTTCTGTAACAGTGAAAAAGCGAAACCACCTAAATGTCCATGAATAGGAAAATGAAAAAATAAACTGGAGATGTGTTCTTGGGAAGGAAGAAATGTCGCAGTTAGAACCAACGAGCCGTGTTGACGCGCGAGAGAAACAGGGTTCCAGGATCATGTTCGCTGAGAAACGTGGTCGAAGATGCTGACGACAGCGACGGCTCGCTCATGCACTTCCCACACACCGGGCATCGTCTGCAGTGCTGCACATGCAATTTGCACTGAACCTCACAAAAACCCTGTGAGGGAAGTACAATCCTTACAGATGAAGAAACTGAGGCACCAAGAATATATGTAAATTGCTGAAGGTCACAGCCAGTGAATGGTAACAGCTAAGATGGTATATGCAGTGTTTCATTAATGTAGACTATGAAAACACACAAAATATAGATATGACTTGAAAAGATGTAAAATAAGCTCACAACACTGGTTGCCTCTAGGGAGAGAGAAAAGAAATGAGGTTCGTGGACTGAGAGGGGTCAGCGGATCTGTGCCTGACATATACGTGCTGTATCAGTGTTAATTCTTGTCTCCTTAAGCCCGAACTTGTCTCAAACACAAGAACACGAGACATGGAAAAGAAAAGTGCTCCATTAACATCAAGGGAATCTAAGAGAGATGACCTGACAGAGGCCGGAAATCATTTCAACAAATGAGTAAGTGTCCACAACACTGTGAAATGCATAGAACTACTCAACACGGACATGGCTGCTTAACCAGTAACTTAAGTACTGCCTCTCCAACTACACCATAAATCCTGTGGGTGGTCCTTGCTTTACACTCCTTTATTTCATAAAGCACAAATGATGTTTTACATAACCTAAAAGGAGTAACCACGACTTTTTTGTGGTAGTAAGAGAATAGTCAAGTCAGAAAAAAAGACTGATCATGTACTTTTATACATGATATAGATTGTTTTCTCACAGATCAGAAGGGGTTTAAAAAGGATATATTTCAAGAGGTACCCTAAAAAGCCGCTGACTTTGTCTTTCCTCTCATACCAGGAAAACTGTCTTTGTAACTGCCATTCATTGATTCATTTTTTAACGTTTTTATTGATTTTAGAGAGAGAGGAAGTGAGAGGGAGAGAGAAACACTGACTGGCTGCCTGCTGCATGCACCCCAACTGAGGGCTGAACCCGAAACCAGGCTAGGGCTGCCACTTTTTTTTTTTTTTCTTTATTGATTTTTGGAGAAGGACGAAGGGAGGAAGGGAGAGAGAGATAAAAACATCCATGAGAGAGAACATCGATTGGCCACCTCCTGCATGCCCCCCACTGGGGATCAGGCCCACAACCTTGGCATGTGCCCTGACCAGGAATCGAACCGGCGACCCCTTGGTACATGGGTCAACGCTCAACCACTGAGCCACACCGGCCGGGCTGCCATTGATTTTTAAAAAGGGTATTCATACTTTCAGGATGTGAGAAGAAATAACATACACCAATAGTAACTCAGTAGCTTAATAAACGCAGCTCTACAGACACAGAGCTGCTCCCACGCCAACCTTCACCAAGGAAGTTAGGAAGGAATCTTGAAAAAGGAAATACTAAAGGATCTCAAAACATTCTATGGCTTATTTTGTTGTTGTTGTTAATCCTCACCTGAGGATATTTTTCCATTGTTTTTCTTTTTGTTTGTTTGGTTTTTTGTTTTATTCCTCACCCGAAGACATTTTTTGATATTTTGTTCCGATAGAGTGGGAGGGAGAGAGAGGAATAGAGAGAGAAACATCGATGTGAAAGGGACACATCGAGTGGCTGCCACCCGCACGACCAACCAGGGCCGGGGACAAACTGCAACCGAGGTACGTGCCCTTAGCGGGAACCGAATCCGGGTCTCTCGGGACCGCAGGCTGACGCTCTAACCGCTGAGCCAAACTGGCCAGGGCTTTCCATTGGTTTTTTGAGATAGCACAAGAGGGAGGGAGGGAAGGAGGGAGAGACACAATGATTGGTTGCCCCCCTGCATGACCCCGACCCTTTGGTCTGAGGGATGACGCTCTAACCACGGAGACAAGCTCCTCAGAGCTCTATGGCTTATTTTTATTTTTAATACAACTTTTTAATTTTTTTTCCTTTATTGATTTGAGAGAGAGAGGAAGGGAGAGGGAGAGAGAGACAGAAACATCGATGAGAGAGAACATCGATTGGCTGCTTCCTGCATGCCCCCTACTGGGGATCGGACCCACACCCTGGGCATGTGCCCTGACTGGGAATCGAACCGGCGACCTCTTGGTGCAGGGTCGACGCCCAACCATGGAGCCACACCGCTGGGCTTAATGCAACTGTTTCAAAGCACTGCTGCGAAGAGCTGGTGGGCGCAACCGGAGCGTCCCCTGCACCCTCTCCCCAGGAGAGCCGCAGACCAGCTCCAGTGCAGACCGCCGGGCGGTGAGGAGTCATGCTTACCGGTGAACATTTTAGTGACAGCCTTACTCTGCTTTCGGGCAGAGCACAGAAGCAACAGCCATGGTGGGAAGAACTCATGGTGACCGGCTAAAAGCTCTGCCACAGTCCCAGACAAGCTGGTGGACGCCTGTTCACCTTCGGCGACGTGACAGCCTTCATCAACAGAATCCACAAGCAGGTACAGGCTTTGCTGGGGAGGCTTCATTCCCAACAGCGGGAGCAGAACACACCTGCAAGGCACATCCACAGCAGCGTGAGTCGGCCTGCGGTCAACGTTAGCATGCAAACACGGCGCGACCGGTCACAAACGGCTTCCCAGTGATTACTGTTTCGGGGTACACATTGCACAAGCTTCAGTTCCTTACTGTAAGGAGAACACGTGTCCGAAGTAGTTCACATTGCCAATGACACTTTCCAGTCAGGTGTGTGTTAGCGATTCAGCATGATTAAGGAGAGCAGTAGGGACTTGAGGAAACGAGACGTCAATATTCTCTAATTTTTGGAATTGGTAAAAAGCTTGAATTGTTTACAAAAAAGCTAAAATGTCTTGCAAGGTGGGGGACATATTTGGGAACCACTTTAATAAGAAGAAAAATATTGAAGATTCAATAGAAGTTAGAAGTGTTTTATCATTTCTCTTATAAAATGACTGCACTGTACACTAGCTTGTCACACAATTTTTACTTGGAAAGACTGTGCAAAGGTAAAGTACAGTCTAGGTCCCATTGGACGTATTTTCAAATTTCAATGTAAAGAATAAATTATTGGGTATAATCCCATTGAATGTATTTCCTACTCAAATAATGTACACTGTAGTGGAATATAATGTTTTCATAACTCAAACAGTGCTCATTCATTTTCAACAAATATTTACTAATGCACGCCATGCACTGGAGAAGGCGCTGAAATATACCACAGTGACGAGGACATCGTCTATCCAGTCACGATACGGACATTCACAGATGCTTTCCGGGACCCTCCTCAATCTTCCCACCCCCCAGCATCCAAGATCCAGTTTATCATCACGGCCTATCAAGATTTCTTTATAAGTCTCTTAAACCCACCTCAGCCTAGTCCAACGCTTTTCACTCTTTTTCATCCTATTTACTGAAATTCTGCGGCACACCAAAAAATAAATTTTTTGCTGAGCTGACAAAAAAAAAGGTATAATTTTGATTCATTCACACTGGATGGCTATTGTGTTGGCTGTTGTGTTTTTTTTTATTTGACAACCTAAGCAGGCAGAGGGGACCGTCCAGCCCGTGGGCCGCAGGAGGCCCTGGAAATCAATACCAGCTCACATCACACGCCTCGCCAAATTAGCCCGACCAAAGCGAGCAGGCTGGTTTTCAAGCTGATTGCGTATGGCCTGTGAATGATGTTACAAATATCCAAATGGCCCCTTGGCAGAAAAAAGGGTTCCCCACCCCTGAAAGGGAGAAGAGGTACTGCATGTTCAGAGAGCCTTGGGCACCCTGGCCGGTCAGCGCTGCCCTGGTCCCATCGCCGCTGCCGTCTCCCAGCCGGGCCCTACCCACCGCAGGCCTGCAGGGCTCCCCGAGGTCTGCGGCAGCCACTGGCCTTCGTCCGGGACTCTGATTAGATACAATTATACAAGGGCTTTTCCATGTAGTTTCCTCTGCCGGCGTAACTTCCCATCTCTCATCATGTAATTAACTCGCCAGGGAAATGCAAATTGAAACCACAGGAAGATACCACTAGACACCTATCAGAATCGCTGAAGTACACGAAACCCCTGAAAATACCAAGTGCTGTCACCGACGTGGAGGAATGACACAGCGGTTTCCGAACAGAACGGCCACTCTGCCACTTCGGAAAAGTCTGGCCGTTCCCTAAAAAATTAAATGCACACCTGCCCCAGCGATCCCACTTCTAGGTATTTACCCAAGTGAAGTAAAAACTTGCGGCCACCAACATCTGTACATGAACGTTTATAGACAGTTCATGCATAACCTGCCATACAACTGCCCAGTGGCCGAGTCCCATCCACTCGAAAGCAGCGTATTCAAGCTGCTTTGCTTCTCGAGGTTGGTAACAAACCCAAATTCTCAAGTACAAAGCACTCAAAATCAGACACCAAGACCCAGGCCTGAGAACGGCTGAACTGTGAGCGTGTTGGCGCAGCCTGACCTTCTGATGGTAGAGGATGTGGTACATCTGTCTTCTGAATCGGAGAGATGAATGATGTACGTTTATTTTCTTTGTAGTTGAAATTTAAAAATGGGAGATAAACAGTCATGCTAACATTTACTGAGTGCTCACTAAGTGTGAAGCACTATGCTAAGTCATCTCTAAGGACTTACCTGGTCCTCCCTCCCGGGGACCCTGCAGGGCAGACACCCTTGTTGGCACATCATTTCACAGAGGAAAAACAAAGGCAGAGGGACAGGAGCTCATGAAGCAAAAACAAGGAGTAAGTGGCAGAGTGGGAATAGAATTTGCTAGGTTTCAAAGTTCCTCTTCTTAATTATTATGCTAAACTGCTTCTGAACATATCAAAGAGTTACAGACAGAAGAGCTTGAGGGCCAATTTAAACAGGAAAGTTCTTAGAGCAACCTAAGTTCCTAAGTGGCTTATTTTTTAGCATTTAAATTACCTGAAAACATTTTCAAGGAAAAAATAAAATGATGCATTTTAAGGTCTTCTAGGTGAATGTGCTATTTTTCAACTTTTATTTTTTCCGAGAGTATTAAATATTCATGTTTGCTTGCTACAGATTTAACGGCCACTTGCCTCAAGATACAGTCAACACTTATTGGGCAGGAAAAGAACAAGGAGACCGCTTCTCACCAGCTTAGTTAGCGCTTCCTGCCAAGTGACATGCTACACAGCACCTTCCTAACTTCCCATTTCCTGCCACCCACCACACCAACCCTCAAATTCCAACAAACAGGTAACGTTTGCCACTTGTACTGACTAATGTATCCCAACATTAAGAATGGCACCTGGCCCTGGCCAGTATGGCTCAGCGGTTAGAGCGTTGGCCAGCAGACCAGGGGGTCCCAGGTTTGGTTCCCACTAAGGGCATGTACCTCAGTTGCAGTCTGTCCCCAGCCCCGGTTGGGGTCGTGTGGGTGGCAACCACTTGATGTGTCTCTCTCACATCGATGTTTCTCACTCTCTCTCCCCCCCTCCCTCCCCCTCTATCTGAAGGTAAATGCAAAAAGTTCCGTGGGTGAGGATTTAAAAAAAATGGCATCAGGTGCATTCCTGGTACCCAATGTATATGTGTAAGTCAGTGAATGAGTGAATAAACCAAAATAAAATTCAGAAATACATACATACAGGTGTGTGTGTGTGTGTCCATCAGTCTTACTGTGGTAGTAGTATTACAAGTTATAGTGTGTCTCTCAGTCTGTCTGTCTTACTATGGTAGTATTACAGATTATAGTGTGTCTGACTGTCCGTCTGTTTTATTGTGGTAGTATTATTACAGATTAGAGTGTGTCTGTCTGTCTGTCCATCTGTCTCTCTTACTGTGGTAGTATTATTACAGATTAGAGTGTGTCTGTCTGTCTGTCTATCTTACTCTGGTAGTATTACAGATTAGAGTGTCTGTCTGTCTGTCTTACTCTGGTAGAATTATTACAGATTAGAGTGGAAGATGAGCCAACCATTCAACAAACGTTGCTGGATCAGGTAGAAAACACGTTTTAAAATATTAAGACCCCAAAAGGCCAAACCATAAAGGAAATTATACAGAAAAATGATATAATTGACTATATTCATTCTTTACACTTCAAAACAAAAATTTTCAAAAGCAAAATGGCAAGCCACGGGATCAAAGGTATTTAAAAGAGAAAGATACCCTTTCGCAGTTCCTTTACAAACCGAAGAACTTGGACCAGAGCAAGTGCACCTGCCACAGCAGTGTGAGCAGACACACCCAGAGCTGAGGGGGACCGTGCGCAGTCACCCCAAAGTTCACTTGTAGGCGTGCAACTCGGCCTCGTTTCCGCTGCTCCCAGCATGTGACCGTGAGGGTACCCCAACATGCTCAACAGCACGCTCTCCAGTTAAAAGGCTAGACACACCTCCAATGAGTATCAACATAACAACAAATGGATGACATATAAAGAGTGGAATCACACCATGTGGCAGTTAACGGGAATCATGTAGATCCACAGGCAACAACACAGGTAAACACAAAAGACGCTGCGCACAAAATGTTGCAGGACAGTGATGTCCACGCGCACCGTTCACACAGAACAGTGGTTTCCAGAGTGGGCTGGGGACCCCAGGGCCTCCCACCCTCTGGGCCCTTCCGGGGTCACACCAAAGCTACACTGCCGTTGGCCTTTTTCACTCTGCTTCTCTCCAGAACCTGTGGAGTCTTCCAGAGGCTGCCTGCAGAAGCAGCTGAGAACCCAGCTGTCTTCTATTAAGCCTAATACTAAAAAGATTTGCACAAAAAGAAGTAAAACAATGCCACTCTTTTAAGTATTTCTTTTTGTCTTGGACATATTTACTCTTTCATTAAAATGTTATTTATGTTAATATGGAATAGATTTATTAGTAATAATAAATATATTAATACATATGTCAGTGTATCTGTTTAAGTTTCAAGTAAGCAAATGTTGATCGATATATCCCACATAAATAAAAGTCCTCTGAGGTCCTAAATAATTTTCAAGAGTATAAACGGGACCTAGAATAAAAAGGTTCGAGAACTGATGATACAGAGTCAAAAGTACACAAACTCGAGCAGACCACAGTCTGTGGAACACGCCATCTCCCTGGGTGGTCAAACTGCACAGACCGTCAACCCACACACACTAATCACAGGGGCCGCCTGTCTAGGGCCAGTGAGTCAGAATCAGAGAGACCTGAGGGGCTTCCAATGTGGATTATTTTTCTTTAAAACAGAAAATCCAGACTTAAAGCAAATGTGGCAAGATGGGTGCATGCGAGTTTGTTTTCCTGTTTATTTACTTTCCTGCGTAAAGGAAACATCTGAGGTGGCAGCAGTGGGCATGCCCCACCAAGTCTTTCTACATCCCCCTTCCCCCCGTGCCACTGGTGTGCTGCCCTTCCGATCCCTGTGAAGTCGAACCTGCAAACTGCTTCTCTCTCTAAAGCAGCGGTTAACAAACATATTAACTGAGACTTAAGCTGCAGAAGTCTTTTTCTCCTTTCTAAGTGAATATGACTTTTAAATAAAACACAAATTATCAATGTGGCAGATCATAATGTTTAATTTTAAATTAA